TCGTATAGCAGCATTGCTTAAGTTATTGTTTTTGACAACTTATTTGTTGGTTAATGACTGCAAATAGTTTTATAGAAAATTAGAAACGAGAAATAATACTTTCATAAAAATTTAAGTACATACATAGATTTAAAAAGCTGCTTGAATACAAAAGTTTTATGAAAATGCCACATTAAACAACTGTCTAAATCTACGTTATTTTTTATAAATAAGGCTGTAGACATTTCCTTACATCGTCAATTTCCATATTCTATTTTTACTCTTTCAATTTCACTGACCCGCGCTGCAAACGATATCAACTAGTAGGCTAACAACCAGAATTGAAATTGAATACGCAAGTACTTACCGTACTACAAGTATACAGAGAGTAGATTTGCTACTCCCTTTTGGCAGCAGCAAAGATCTCTCGTACGCGATGAGAGAAAGTAGAGTACGTACTTTGGTGGAGTAATAGCAAGTACGTCAAGTATTTACTCTCTCAGCGCCAAGTAGTGTATGTATGCGGAAAAAGAGTAACAATGTGTTGGGAGTAGAGTACAATGCAAGGAGTACTTATTGAACGAAATGCGGCAAATACACTTGCGCTGGACTCTAATATAAGTCAACTCAATAGATGGCAGCGTGTGTGTTGTATGCAGCAGCATTTCTGGAAGAAGTGGCACACCGAGTATTTAACTCTTCTTCAGCAGCGGCAGAAGTGGCATTCGTCTTCAGCAAACTTAAGGCCTGGTGATTTGGTTCTAAGAACAGCCCTCCACTCAAGTGGCCCCTAGCTAGAGTGATCGATACTGTTCGTGGAAAGGATGATATAGTTCGTGTTGCCGTACTTAAAACTGCAAATGGCGTATTCAAGCGAGCTGTGGCAAAGTTATGCCTTCTACCAATCGATGACAACGTATTGAAAGCCTAAACCTTTCAACAGGCGGAGGATGTTTAATTATAAGATCTACCTTCAATATTATTGGCACTCTCTATTGTGCTCATTTCATACGTTGACTAATAACACTCAATATAGATTTACTCCCTTTTGTGTTCATTTCATACGTTGATACACTGCACATGTATATATGTGTATACATATTTACATCTATTGTTTATGCTACCGCTAAATCGGGTGATTTTACTGCACAAGCCCAAGTGTTATTTTATGATGTACACACATGCGTAAATATGTATGTATAATGATTGCAATAAGTTGAAAACTAGTTTTAAGGAGAAGCATTAATAATTCCATCCACGATCTTGAAGCAAAAGGGCATAAGCGCTAATAAACTGGCTTATTTTGTACTAGCTTTCGATCATTTCGTTGTGTTTTTATTGTAATTGCCACTGGTCGGTAAAAAGGCTTGCCGTTCACGAAACCATTTGGTGACCCCGACGTGATTTTGGAATCACGGATTTTGCGTATTTACAAACAAAGCATTGCCCCATGTTGCCGTCCAAAAGAGCAGAAGAAGTTGAATCCAGGAAAAAGAATCGCGATTCTCTCATACAGCAGATAACAACGATTAAAACCGCCCTTAACATTGAAGCACTCCGGTAGCGCGACGAAGCAGCAGTTGAAGTCCGAATAGAGCAGGTGGATCGGCTGGAAAAAAGATTTGATGGTATTCAGCGCATTTGGAGGATGAGGACGTACCTGAAGACGTAGTGACGATGTTTTCTAGCCATTACATCGAAGTGAAGACGAAGTTGACGCGCCAGCTGTATATTTGCCGTGGCGCAGAAT